CTATTATTATTCCCATTTTATAGGTGAGGAAACTAAGGTCAAAAGGTTAAGTAACTTGCCCAAGGTTTTACAACGAGTAATTATCAGGGTGAAATGTGGACCTAGGTCTTTCTGATTCCCAATCCAATATCCCAGAACTATCAGTACCGTATGGTGCTGCTAATAAGGATCATTCCCTCCTTGGCAGAGGGGCACCATAAGGACATACAGGCAGACAGATGCATGAGAAACATCTGAACCAAGTCTCGAGTGGGCAGGCAGATGGCAAAATGGGCAGGCAGCTAGACAGGCAGTTCCTGGTTCAGCTAGTCCCAGGATGACTTCCCTAGTTAGCAGGACACCTGCAGCAACCTTAATGTGCAGAGAGGACACTTCAGTCCTGGCAAGGGATGAGCTGTCTACCCCCTGCAGATACCGCTTGTTGCAAAAAGGGACTAGATTAGCAATCAATCAATACTTACTTCAAAGCAGGAGGCACTGGATTAGAACAGTTTCCATTTGGGGCTCAAACGCCCCAAGAGATCAAGGTCTTCAGTCCTTTTTGAGGACAGCACCCCACAGGGTTACAATGACCTTGCCAGGGACCTCTTTAGGTCAGGAGCCAGGCAGGGCTGAGTCCTAAGCAACAGGCCATCACCCCCATTCCACCCTCCCCCAAGCAGCAGCGGCAGAGAAGCCTGCATCTGCCTGCCTCCCCTCCCTCTTCCTCCTCCTTCCCTCAATCTACTCTACCTCAGTGGGACCGACCTTGGAATTGTTGGGCTGCCCTCTCCTGGGCACAGCTAAGAATGCCACAGATTTACCTTTTCTGGCTCCCTGGGATTCTCCTGTTAAAAGATGTTAAAAGATTAATTAGTGTTAGAATCTATGAGCAACGAATATTAAATATGCAAACTGGTTTTTTTCTGAATTGCTTTTTGTCTTTCTTTTTCTTTGTTACTCAGAGGTATGGTTCTCTGGGCAGGGGAAACAGGATGGATATACTGTAATTGGAAATGAAGGTGATATAAAACAAATAATGTCAATACAAGTTCAAAAACAAATTCCTATTAACATAAGGTAAAGGAAAACTTTAATCAAATGCTCACACACTCTGTTCATTCCCTTTTCCCTATACCCTTCACTTTTCTTCCCCTTCTTCCCCTTTGCCCTTTTGTCCTTCAAAGCTTAGCTCAATGTCCCAAATCTTCCATGAAGCCCTCCCAAGATGGCTCCAACTCATCTCTTTGGCCTCTGAGCACCCACCGGTCATGGACTCAGCCCCACAGGTTAGTTTAACTGTCCTTGGACCGTTTTCTGTGTGTCTGGCTGGGTTGGGTGCTCCCCATGCATGAAGCACTTGTATTTCATTCCTCTTCCTTATAATGGTGAACCAAGCCCAAGGCTTGGTGGTTAACCTCCTTGCATTTCAACTTCTGCTTTTGAGAGAGGATTCTGAAACTTCAGGTTGGTATGGACTTTATCTAACCCTCACCAGATTAGGAAATCCCTCTACAACATCCTTGAATAGAGCTCACCCAGATTTTGCTTGAAGACCTCTAATGGTACAAAAATATTTATAGAAACTCTTTTAGTGGTGGAAAAGAATTGGAAATTGAAGGGACATCTGTCAATTGGGGAATGCCTGAACAAGTTGTAGCATATGACTGTGATGGAATACTATTGTGCCTTCAAAAAAAAAAAAGACAAGCAGGATGCTTTCAGAAAAAGCTGGGAACACTTACATGAACTGATGCAAAGTGAAATGAGTAGACCCAGGAGAATATTGCTGTAATAGTAATATTGTATGATGTTCAACTGTGAATGACTTAGCTATTCTCAGCAATACAATGAGCCAAGACAATTCTTTTTTTTTTCCAGCAATTGGGGTTAAGTGACTTGCCCAGGGTCACACAACTTGTGAGCCAAGACAATTCTGAAGGATATCCACTCCAGTGGTCAGGTGAAGTCCCGAGGGCTACATCTCTCCTTTAGCCTCTAGGGATACCCCTTAGGGGTTGGACAAATATTTACAATTCTATTGGCTCAATCCTCTAAATAGTGTATTATTCCCAATATCATTGACCAGTTATTTCTTCAATATATTCTAATCAGTTGTCATCTCCTCAATACCATTTCTAAATAGTTAATATCAATTCGATTTAACAAAAAGAGTAGAGCAAAAAAAAAAAGACGTAGAGTGATCTGACTGATAAATTCAAAACACAATCACAATGAGTAATTTTTCCAACATAAAAGCATGATGGAGGGATAAGGTTAAGTGTACAAGTGGAAAGGTTTGGCTTGGCAAGGAAGAAGTCCACTTTTCCCTCTGAGATTGAAAAGAAAGAAAGTTATTTTTAGAAACATGAGAAATTTAGTGGCATTGAGGGAGTTCACATCAGGGGACCTCAATCTTTTCAAAAGGTGAGATCAGCAAGGGATGAAAGAACTTGCTTTTGTCAGTTGACTTTAGGGAAACTTTAGGTAGAGGCTTTGGTTGGAATGAATGGACAATTGTGCCTAGGTCCCCAGTAATGAGGACATTCTGAATTGTCTCCTAGGAAAGCAGAATAAGCCAAATGGATAAAGTATCACAAAAGTTCACTACAGAAAATAATTCCTTAAAAATTAGAATTGGGCAACTGGAAGCCAGCAAGACATAATCCAAGTCAAAAGAATGATAAAAAAAAATAGAAGAAAATGTGAACTATCTCATTGGAAAAACAACTGACCTGGAAAATAGATCAAAGAGAAATAATAAGAATTACCGGACTACCTACAAGTCATGATAAAAATAAAAAGCCTAAACATCACATTTCAAGAAAAAGGATTATTGCCCCAATGTCTTAGGTCCAGATAGTAAAATAGAAGTGAAAGGCTCCATCAATCACCTTCTGAAAGAGATACCAAAATTAAAACTCTCAGCTCTATTATTATAGCCAAATCCCAGAGTTCCCATGTCAGGGAGAAAATATTGTAAGCAGCCAGAAAGAAACAATTCAGATATCATGGAGCTACAGTCAGGATCACACAAGATTCAGCAGCTTCCATGTTAAAGGAGTAAAGGACTCGAATGTGACATTTCCGAAGGCAAAAGAGCTAGGATTACAACCAAGAATAACCTACCCAACAAAACTGGGTATAATCCTTCAGAGGGAAAATGCATATTTAATGAAATAGAAGACTTGTAAGCATTCCTGATGAAAAGACCAGAGCTGAATATAATATTTGACATTCAAACACAAGAGAAGCATAAAAAGGTCAACATGAAAAAGAAATCTTAAGGGATTCAATAAAGTAAAACAGTTTACATTCCTGTATGGGAAGATGATACATGTAATTCCTAAGTATGTGATCATTATTCAAACAGTTAGAAGCAGTCTACATAGACAAAGGACATTAGTGTGATGTTGGGATGATCCGAAAAAAGAAAAAGAAGGGGTGAGAAAGATGGATGCACTTGGAGAAGGGGGAAGTGAGAAGTATAATGGGGGAAATTATTTCACATAAAAGAGGAGCACAAGGAAGAGCTTTTATAGTAGAGGGGGAAAGAGGAGAGGTGGGCTGGTGGGCAATGCTTGAACCTTACTCTCATCAGAATTAGTTCAAAAAGAGAAGAATATATACATACATACAGTTGGTTATAGAAAGCTATCTTACCCAACAGGGAAATAGAAGGGGAACAGGATATTCGAAATTAGGAGGGGGATGTAAAAGGAAGAGTTGATAAGTGAGGAGGGATAGGATAAAAAAAAAGAAAGAGATGGATAAATGGAAGAAAATGGGATGGAGGGAAATATACAGTTAGCAATCATAATGTGAATGGGATGAGCTCACCCATAAAACAGAAGTGGATAGCAAAATGAATTGGAAACCAGAATCCTACAATACGTTGCTTACAAGACATACTTGAAACAAAGACATACACAGAGTTCAAATAAGGAAATGGAATGGAATCTGTTATGTGTCCGCTGGAGTAAAAAAGGCAGGGGTAGCCCTCATGATCTCAGATAAAGCAAAAGCAAAAATAGACCTAATTAAAGGAGATAATCAAGAAAACTACATTTTGAGAAAAGGTACCATATACAATGAAATAATATCAAAATTTTTACAGCAAGTTTCTCTGATAAAGGCCTCTTTTTTCAAATATATAGGGAATGGAGTCAAATTTGTAAAAATAAGAGCCATTCCCCAGTTGATAAATTGTTGAGGGATATGAATACACAGTTTTCAGAAGAAGAAACCAAAGCCATCTAGAGTCACATAAAAAAATCTCTCTAAATCACTACTAATTGGAGAAATGCAAATTAAAACAACTCTGAGGTGCTACCTCATCCCTATCAGATGTGATAAATACTGGAAGGGATGAGGGAAAATAGGTACAGCAATGCACCATTGGTGGAACTGTGAACTTGTCCAACCATTCTGGAGAAAAAGTTGAAACTATGGCTAAAAGGCACCCCGTTGTGCATACCCTTTGACCCAGCAATACCACCACTAGGTCTGTACACCAAAGAGATCAAAGGAAAAAGGAAAAGGACCCAAATGTATGAAAATGTTTATAGCAACCCTTTTTGTGGTGGCAAAGAATTGGAAAGTGACAGGATGCCTGGAAATTGTGCAATGGCTGAACAAGTTGTGGTATATGATTGCAATGGAGTACTGTTGTGGCATAAGAAATAATGATGGAGATGGTTTCAGAAAAATATGAGAAAACCTATATTAACTGATGCAAATTGAAGTGAGTAGAAACATTGTACACAGTAACAGCAATATTTTTAGGATAATCTACTATGAAAGACTTAGCTACTCGAATCAATACAATGATGTAAGACAATTCCAAGAACTGATGATGAAAAATGCTATTCACCTCCAGAGAAAGAACTGATGAACTCTGAATGCAAATTAAGATATAGTTTTCCCACTTTCTTTATGTTTCTTGCCTTTTTTTTTTAACAACATGGCTAATATATAAATACGTTTTGCATGATTTCACAAGTCTAATTGTTATTACATTG